AGAGGAGAGGCTGAAAAGGCCGTGAACAGAGCAGATCCACGGCTCTTAAATATTAACAGATTAATAATAATTGAACTGATTATTAATCAAATGAACTGCACAACCTGTGACTGATAACAACATCTCACACTGTAAATGCATGCAGTCAGATGTGAGTTTAAACGAGATCCATGAAACAACAATATTCATTCTGTTAAGGCAATAAGGACAGAATGTGTCATGGAACGAGCTGTCACATCACGTAAATAGAAGCGAATAATGAACAGGGTGTTGACCACGCGGCCGCAGTGCGAATATCCTGCATTGTCATACCATTATGCAAAGCAGTCGAAGATGCGATACCTATGGTCAAGTGTGCTCTGAGGTTGACAGGAGGCTCTAAATCTGATGCTCTGTAGGCTTCAGAAATGGCCTCACACCGCCAGTGTGACAGGTGCTGGATGGATAACGGGCGACATGCAGATGCGTCTCTATAGTGCACAAACAAATGTTGAGTCTGATGCAGTACCGCCATGCGTGTTACGTAACACGTCAACGCACGCACAGGGCAGAGAAGATGGAAAGATGGTTCTTCTTCTGATTTGTGGGGAAGAGGGAAAAATCCCTCCAATGATATCGCTCTTGATTTAATTAAGCTTGTGATGTTTTTAGGCATAAACGCTGGGTTAGGCCTCAGATCAGCTGAGCTGCCGTCAGCCTGAATTCTGAGACATGACGGAGCTACAGAGAGGTCAGACAAATCACTCAGCCTCTTAGCGGATGTTAAAGCCAAGAGCAGGGTTGTTTTAAGAGACAAGAATTTAATCGGAACCTGATTCAGTGGTTCAAATTGAGCTTTGATCAGAGCCCGCAGGATCAGCGTTAAATCCCACTGTGGAGCAAGTGGGCGTGATACAGGCCTGCGTCTCTGTACATCTTTTAAAAAACGCTTCATCAGCAGGTGATTAAAAGTTGTTCTGTTCCTGAAACCTTTGTGACAGGAAGAGATGGCTGCAGCGTACGTTTTAATCATGCTGAACATCAGATTTCTGTCCATCAGCTGCTGCAGAAAGGACAGCACGCCACCTAGTGGACATGAAGTGGCCTCTACACCTTTCTCCGTACACCAGCGCTGAAAAGCTGTCCACTTTGATGTGTACAGCGCTGTGGTGGAGGTAGCACGTGAATCCTGGATAGTGCGCACTACATCTTGGGAGAGACCCATCCTCTCCAAACGGATCAGTTCAGCGGCCAGACTCAAAGATGCTGGCCTATTTCTGGGTAACTCCTGATCGCTCCTCTTGCCTGGAGGAGAGCGTCCTCCCTCCACGGCAGTTTCCACAGGCGCCCCGATAACAGGCGCCGTAGAATTGGGAACCATGGGGCGTTCACACGCTTGGGAGCCAGGAGAGCTGTCAGTCCCTCCTCCTGAACTCTGTTCAGAAACCGTAATATCAGAGGGAGTGGGGGAAATGCGTAAAGAAACATTTTGGGCCATGGGCTGTGAGCAAACGCATCCACCCCTAGCGGTGGTTCGTCCCGCGGGCTCAGTGAGAACCATAGTTGGCAATGAGCATTCTCTCCTTTTGCAAATAGGTCCACAGCCACTTTGCCAAATTTCGGCCACGACTGAGCCATCAGCTCGGGATGGAGGCTCCAGTCCCCGTGAAGCGGACCGTCCCTGGACATCACATCCGCCCCTCTGTTCAGAACAACGGGGATGTACACTGCTCTGATGGAGTGCCGATTTTGGTGTGCCCAACACAGCAACCGTCTCGCAATGTGTAACATTTGGGCTGAGCGCACACACCCCTGCTGGTTTATGTATGCTGCAGTAACCTCGTTGTCTGTGTGAATCAAAACATGTTGATTCTGTAGCACAGAGGCAAAGTGTTGAATCACAATCAAAACTGTGCGACATTCCAGAACATTTATATGAGCTGTTGTGTGAGGTGGCCACAGCGCCCCTACAGCTCGGAATATGCATGTTCCCCCCCAACCTGACAGGGACGCGTCTGTGAACACTGAGACGTGTGACGTAGGTCTGCTGACGGGGACTCCCTCCGACAGAACAAGGGGGTTCCCCAGTGTCGGAGGTCTGTTCTCACGGAGGGAGGCACAGCAATCGTCCGTCTCTTCTGCTTCACCGGATCCACACGCAGACGAGCGAACCATCTCTGAAGGCGTCGCATGTGGAGTAAGCCCAACGGAACCACCGTGTGAGCTGACGACATCATTCCTAATAGCTTCATGACGGAAATGGCTGTTACCACTCTGCCAGGCCTTACGTGGCGGAGCTGGTCTTTTAGAGTTTCGATTCTCGTCTGTGATAAACGAGCCCTCATGGTGATCGAGTTTAGCTCCACTCCCAGATAAACAATCGTCTGGGCTGGGAGAATCAAGTTTTTTTCCCAATTTATGGCGAAGCCCAGATTTAAACAGGTGTGACGTCAGCACCTGGGTCTGCGCTGCTGCCTCCTGTCTGGAACGGGTCAGCAGCAACAGATCGTTCAGGTAAAACAAAATTCTCATCCCTGCTCTGTGTAACGGTTGCAGAGCCATCTCCACACACTTTGAGAACGTACGAGGCGCGAGGGAATAACCGAATGGCAGACTGTTGTACTGTACTTGAGCTGCGAACTGCAGCATGTAACCCCTGCTAATAAGACGGCTCATCCATCTGTCTAGAGAGCACGTCCAATGCCACTCAGCGTAACGCTCAGGGAGTGGGCAGGTGTTTTTGTGATGTGTCATGTTTCTTATGGACGTCAGCCAGGTTACAGCCTCCACCGCCGTCATGTGTTGAGGAGGTGTGCTCCGCATGACCCAAGGGGAGGTTTTCTCTAAAGGGCTGAGCGCACTTCTGTGCCGCGCTCAGACTGCGGGCTCACATTCACGCTGATGTGAGCCGGCGTACGCTGAGGAGAGTTGTGCACGCCCTCATCAACGCAAAGCTGCTTGGGTGAAAACTGCCGGTGCCGCGGGAGCACGCATTTGACACCGCTGCGGTGAGAGGAGGCAGCGCGCAGCCCAGGCTGAAAGCGAGGTTTCCCACTGGACTTGGTCTGCTGAAAACATTCACTTTTGGCTGCTGTGTCACATGAGCGTTTTGTGTGTTCCTTTGAACTGCGGTGATTGTTTAAAAACCTGTTTTGAGGACACCGGCTTGTTTTGTGTGGAGGATGTGTGAGGAGAAGCCACTGTGAGATCATTCGAACTAACAGACAGGCTAAAATCAGACACTTTAATCTTTGAATGATGTTCGTGTTTTATTTCAAAACTCATGTCATCATTTTGCACACATACATCCCCTGCAAGGAGTCATTTCTTGAATGTTCTCCCCCTTGAGACCTGTGGTTTGTCGTCCCAGGGAGACGCCTGTTGGCAGTCTCTGGGGAAACACTGCACTGCTGGTTGCCAGGAAGAGAAGGGCTGTTCTCTGACGAGAGGGGCTGGCGGCGGAGCAGAGCGGGAGGATGCTGCTGCAGCTGTGGAACGTCTCTGTTGCTGCCTTTGGCCACGACGATCCTTCCAGCAGACCGGGGGGCGGGATGAGGCTTGCGGCTTGATCAGATGGCGCACAGTCTCTGACACCTCCTCCGACTTATTTGACTTTTCCAGCATGGCCTTGAAATTGGTCCCGAACAGCATGTCCGTCGTGATGGGACCTTCCATCAGGTCCTTCTGCAGTTTCTCCGGCAGGGAGGGGGAGTGAGGGAGCCAGGTGGACCTCTGGATCATCGTCATCCAGGCTGCGATGCGAGACAGGCAGACAGCAGAGGAGGCGCACAGGTTGAGGATGACGTCAGACGCCTTGCAGAGGGAGCTCTTTGTCTCCTCAGGCAGGTCTGTGTCCTCCAGCCTCTTTGAAACGCTGTACACCAACAGCGCCACGTTATTGTTTGCTGCAGCCGCCTGGAATGCACACTGATGAGCTCGATTGGAGAGCAACGTCACCATCTGGTCATGCTTCCCCGGAGGAACAGGACGCTGGTCCAATCTGGACAACTTCGCTCCGAAAGCTTCCGCCAAGCTCAGCTCCGGGGGGGGGTGGGGGTGTACCGAAGGAAAGTTCTGCTCGGTAAACCCCTCCACTCTGGTGATGGGAGCGAATGTGGAGACGGGCGCTCTCAAATTACCAGGTCTGGCTGCAGCCTCGTTCCAGTAGGACGTCACTACTGGGAAACGAGGCCAGATGGGATCAGGACGGCGAGCCATGGTGGAGCCAAACCTTCTCGCTAGATCATCATCAGCTAGATCACTGCTGAAGCATCACGTTTGTTATGCGTCACCGCTGACCCCCGGAAATGTGGGCCGGTGCTGTTCTAAAAATTGATTGGCTGCCAAAATGGCAGCCGCAGGAGCACACAAGGGAAGATTTTAACAAGAATTTAACAAGATCAAAACGAAATTATAGCAAAGGTGTGTCTCAGTTGAACTTTTCCTTAATAAATGCACTTTAATGGTCAAATCTGCCACATTTCAAAAGCCGAGGACGCGCTGTGCATTTCTTCAAAATTAACAAGATAACCGCCTAAAAACTATTATTTGTTTGTTCGACATCATAGCAAAAGTGTGTCTCAGTTGAACTTTTCTTTAACAAATGCACTTTAATGTTTAAATCAGCTGCATTTCGCCACGCCGTCAAGGCGAAATGCAGCTGATTTGACGCTGGCTCCAGGAGTTCCAGAGCAAGACAAAGATGGCTTTCTATGGCAAGACAAGTGTCTCATTAATAGCCAATTTTACATATTAATGAGACACTTGGCTTGCCATAATGCTTGAGGGCCCTCTAGTGGCTGCAAATGGTAATGTTTAATTTTTTTCATGTCAGAATGTATGAAATTGTCTGATCTCAGTCAAAAACTGGGTTATACAGTAAATATTGGGGGGGGGGGGACATATATTAGTCGCTTCAGTGTATAAGTCGCATGACTTGCAAATTTATGAAAAAGGTGTGACAAACACCTGCAAATATGGTAGTGGTTTATTTTAGTATATACAGATATAACTTCTATTACTCACTTTATCAAACACTTGTGTCCGTTGTAGAGAGCTGGGCAAGGCCAAGAGGGTCAGAAACAGCTGGTGCAGAGTCGTCCATGGTTTCATTTCATGTAAAATCTGGACAGACAGAACACAGCACAGGAGGCTTTGTTAGCTTTATTTTTATACCCAGCAGCAAATAAAAAAAGCTACCGGACATATTTCCTCCATGACCTGCTCTGACCTCATGAAGTGACAAAACAGACTAAAAATAAAAGGTCAAGCATGCTTTGAAAGAATGCATATCACCCACCAGCTTTCATGCCTGTGATTTAGACACAAAATGACAAATAGTAACTGTTTTAGTGAAACTTTAAAAATAATGTTATGTGTGATCTTAAGTGATTTTATGAAAACTCACTTGACATGTTAGTTGCTACTGTCATTTGTGCTTAAAATTAACTACAGAACATCATGAATTGTAAAGAGTGATGGTGATGTAGAAGTTCTTGAAAAAAAAAATTAAAATTACTAAGAGGTATTTCCAATTCCTGCTTTTCGCTCAAAGACAAGGGACAAATACAATGAAACTTCAGAATATGGATCTTTTTAATAAGACAGCATGGCTGCATTCAGATTAGCCATAAGTCTTTTTCACAAAACACCTCAAGCCAGGATTTAGACTCCTTCTGGCTGCCTTGGTGTGACTTCTGAATGGTCCAAGGTTGGGGGTCTAATCCAACCTAGCCCTGATGTTCACGGTTCATATGTGAAACTGTAAATTAACTTTGAGGATCAATAAAGTGAAGAAGCTGTAACATCTGGTTGGATCTCTGTTGCAGGAATAAAAAATAAACAGATGTATGTGTTTATGTCCACCAATTCAATTCAGTTTATTGATATAGCACCAAATCAAAACAAAGTTGTCTCAGGGACTTTACAGGAACATTCACATAAAAGCCAATTAGTAGAGTTCTCTTATCTAAGGAATCCAGCAGACAAGTTGAATCTTGTCTTCGTTGCAGTCTCCCATCCTGAGCAAGCACAGTGGCAACAGTGGAAAGAAAAACTCCCTTTTAACAGGAAGAAACCTCCAGCAGAACCAGCTCAGGACAAGCGGCCATCTGCTTTGACCGGCTGGTTGAGAGGACAGGAAGGAGAGACAGACGAACACAGAATGGTAGGTCCAGGTATAGGTCCAGGTGTATCTGAAAAACAAAAACACATGTTGAGGATAGCAAAAATAATTACAAATACAAAACAGGTTGAGCAGAGTAAGTAAAGACAGCAGCAGAGTGAAAAGTGTGGTCAGTTTATCCTCCAGTAGAAGACATTCTCAAATCTCATTATCAACTGAATCACCAGCAAGTCAAACAAATGAATAAGAATTGAGAATATAGATTTGCCCCGCTCCCCTCAGGCAGGAGGTTGAGGAGCATTAAGTGTAGAACCACTAGACTGAGGAACAGCTTCTACCCTGAGGCTGTTAAGACTCATGAATCTCTAACCAGGATAATTACTGTGAAAAATAACATGTTGCTGCTGATTTGTTTCATGTTGCTGATGATCTATTTAATGTTGCTGATGATCTGTTTCATAGTGCTGCTGATCTGTTTCATGGTGCTGCTGATCTGTTTCATGGTGCTGCTGATCTGTTTCATGTTGATGTGTTCATGCGTGCTCATTTGCTCACACACTCATGCACATGCTCATGCTCGTGCTGCTGTTGCACGTAATGTTTTTAAGCTATTAGTGTGTAGCATATTTTTAGTTGTTGTTTTTCTTAGTTCATATCTTAGATGTTATCATTGTTTTTCTTTTACATTTTATTGTTGGATGTAACTGGGGCCGTGTACATAATTTCAATCCACCACATGTGGTGGATCGACAATAAAGAATCTCTGACTCTGGAAAATGGTCAATGGTCAATCAGGGTGCACCAGGTGATGAGCTGCTGAGATCATGTGAGAGCTGTGTTACGTGAGAAACATGGCAGGATACTGCTAAACAAAAACGATTAGACTCAGGTAAAACAAGCCAATATATTACAATCAAGCATAAAAAATATTGTTAATACAAACGTCTGTATATTGTTTCAATTGTAGAAGGATATGGGGCTGGATATATATTGTAAATTATCAGTTATGAGTTAAGCTCACAAGATATGCATTTATTATGCAAATAACCTCGTTGTGTGGGGGCACCACCTCTGTTTAGAGGAAAAATCAGTCTCTAACCCCAAATTAAATGTAAACTGAAACGTGAATTATTTTCTCGTGTTTAAAGGGAATCAAGTCGGTTAATACACACAGATATGCCAAAATAATCACAAATTTAGTTGATTTTATGTATTTTATTACAAAAATAATAATCTATGATATATGGTATGAAAATTATGCATAACAAACAAATGAATACCAAATAGCTTTGTATCAAAGGTCTACTTGATTAATCAAATCAGTAAACTTAAAAAAGGAACATTTTGGACTGGTTCTGTTTGTGCAGTAGTTAAAATTGTGTCTAAAGTGAGCTGTAGTTTGTCTGATAAGATTATTGTGATGTATGATCACCAGAAAGTGCATTGAAGAGTCTCTCTCACCAGAACGAGATGTCAGAATCCAAAAAAGTTCAATCTGGTCCTCTGGACATTCAAAAAAACAAAAAACAAAACAAAGCAAAAAAAATGTAGAAACGTTTCGTCTCTCATCCGAGAGACTTCCTCAGTCTGAGGTGCTGTATTCAGCTCAGTCTCTTAAATAGCACCTTCTCAGAGTGGATCAACCAGTTTTGCTGCTGACAACCAAAACCAGCTGCTCACATGCTCAAGAAGGACCATCAGCCTAACAATGGATCATTAGCACCTGATGGCTGTTTACTGTTCACAGAGGGCTGAGTGATACTAGCAATCACAGCATTGTAAGAGGGGGACAGTTGAACCCGGAGGCCTCCACCCCTGTTTAATGATGGACGATTTCTTTTCACAAAGATGGCCTCCTTTACTCCTCTCTCAAACCATCGTTCCTCTCTGTCCAGGATGTGAACATCTTCATCCCTGAAAGAGTGACCGCTGGCCTGGAGATGAGTGTAGACTGCAGAGTCCTGGCCTGATGATGTTGATCTTCTGTGCTGGGTCATCCTTTTGGCCAGTGGTTGTTTAATTTCCCCGATGTAAGACTGATCACCCTCCTGACACTGAACAGCATACACAATATTACTCTGTTTGTGCCGGGGGACTGGATCTTTGGGATGAACCAGTCTTTAATGTATTTTGGGATTGAAAAGCCACTTGGACATTATGTTTAAAAAATAAATGTCTCAGTTTCTCTGATACTACCTCAACATATGGAATGACCACTGGTCTGGGTCTGGGTTCCTCCTTTTCACCTGATGGCTGACTGGAGTCCTGTTTGGGTTTCTTCTCTGCTTTCAGGAAGGCCCAGTTAGGATATCCACATTGCTCTAGAGCCTGTTTTGTGTGGGATTTCTCCTTCTGCCTGGCTCCTGAGTTAGTGGGGATGCTGTCTGCTCTGTGGTACAGAGTCCTGATGACTCCTAACTTGTGCTCCAAAGGGTGATGGGAGTCAAACTGCAAATACTGGTCTGTGTGGGTGGGTTTGTGGTACACCTCGGTTTGCAAATGTCCTCTATCAGAGACTGAGACCTCACAGTCCAAGAAAGACAACCTGCCATTTTTTACATCTTCTCGTGTGAACTTGATGTATTTATCCACAGAGTTGATGTGGTCAGTAAAATGTTGGACTTCCTGAGATTTGATTTTAACCCAGGTGTCGTCAACATACCTGAACCAATGACTTGGTGGTGTCCCTGAAAAGGACGTCAAGGCTCTCTTTTCTACCTCCTCCATGTACAGGTTGGCAACAATAGGAGAAACTGGAGACCCCATAGCACACCCATGTTTCTGCCTATAATATTGCTCCCCATATGTGAAGTAGGTTGACTGCAGGCACAGTTTCAAGAGTTGACCCAGTTGTTCTGTGGAAAGTGTGGTCCTGCTGCTCAGAGTGGTGTCTGATTTTAATCTTAAACTGACCACCTCTACTGCATCATCAACAGGAATGCACGTAAAGAGTGATGTGACATCAAAAGAGACCATTGTTTCATTAGTCTCCATAATGCCATCCCTCACCTTATCTACAAAGTCCATGGTGTTCTGTATGTGGTGTTCTGAGCTGCCAACTAAAGGGATGAGTACAGACGCCAGATATTTGGAAACATTGTAAGTGACCAATGCCCCTTTTCCACTGTCACGGCGCGGGTCGGATATTTCCGACTTCACGCGCGTTTGAGGTCTTTCCACTGTTCCTGTGACCGGCTCGCCTCGCTAAATTCTGGCCCGGCTTCTCAAGGGGTCCAAGCGAGCCGCGCCGTGACGTCAGAAACACTGTCGGTCACTGATTGGTCGGGGGGAGGAGTCTGTGGAGTCTTTCCAAACAACCTGATCCACCATTTATCTCTACCACCTGCCATTAGCAATAACACGAGGAGCGTATCTTTTAGTATTTTGAAGCTATACAAAAACAATAATATCAAAGCTGTGGTCAAATGCAGAAGTGCAGGTGTTGTTGTGCTTGGTGGCAGAAGAAAAAAGTCAAAGCGAGCTAGATGGAGGATTGGAGGGTGGTTTGGACACGACTACTGCTCTACTTGAATCATTTATAGAAGATGGTGAGTGTTTTCTAACTTTAAACATATTTTAAGTGACTCATCCCATCGGTTCTGAACATATTTTTAACTAACAAAAGAGGCTGACGCCATAATAGACAACATTGGTGCTACGATGCTAAGCTAATTTGCATAAACGTTAACTGTCCTCCGGTCCCGTTTCTCACAGTATTTTATCCAGAACGTATTTCAATGCGTGACGGTTCATCTCTAAACTCCACATTAAACCCTCCAAGCCTCCCGGCTCCTGCTCCATCAGAGGAGTCTACACCTGACAGAGCTCCATCAGAGGAGTCTACACCTGACAGAGCTCCATCAGAGGAGTCTACACCTGACAGAGCTCCATCACAGCCCAGCTGCACCTCACAGAGCAGCACAACGCTGCAGCTTCTGTGCTCGGTAAGAACAGATGCAACATGTTCCACATCACTTTATTTGTGCCGATAAGGACTTGA